CAGATGAGGGGGGGGGGGCTGTCAAATTTATGCCGGAGTCGGCTAATCCGCGGCCAGGTGACAAACACTTTATTAATGTGAAGAAAAGTTGGTTGCTTTACGACTTGAATCCGGGATGCGGTGCGGAGGTTTCAGGGCATTCCGTCAACGATTTTTTGTCCGCACACCTGTTTTGTCCAGTAGTTTACGTCCACGCGTGAAATAAGCAACAGTGACTTGATCCGAGTGTCATATTTTAGTCCGTATGTAAAATTATATTGACAATAATGAAATGAGAAAATTGACAGAAACGGAAGAGTTGTTGTGGTAACTCATTTTTTAAATGAAATGTTATTTCCTTCTTTTGATCAATTTTTTTAAATTTTCATGGGTGAATATTTGGTTTTATTTCCATCCTTAAAATTTTCGATGAAAAATAAACCTTATAAATACTTTTTTTTAATGAAAATATTACTTTATTTTAAAAACATTTACATTTTTAAAACATGGCAAATATTCGTAAAACCTTTTTCAAGCGATGGCATCGATATTAAAGTCAATGAGCAGTAGTTGTGTTGAAAGAAGCTATGCACAATTGAATAAAAGAGGGAAAAGCCGAGAAGCACGCAATCTTCGGTTTTAGCCCATTTGTACATCGATCTTTCAGAGTCAAATACGTCCTATTTTGAGCGTTTGGTTGCGCTCACACCACGCTGCAGCACAGTAAAAACACAAAATATAAAAGAAAAAATTAATGTGCTTTGAAAATCATTAAATACGGCAAGGAAACACATTAATATTTACAAAACGCACATTAAATTTTTCTTTCATATATACATTTATTTTATCAATTTAAATTAAAGTAATCCATGCAGAGTGTGCAAACATATAAAAAAATCATGAGTTGATAAACGCTGACTCCGCAATTTTAAATAATAGGCCCTAGCATAAATCGGAGTGATGCGACGTGCTGCCAGCACGAAACGCGCACTAGCGCCTACAAACCTAAGCAGATACTCCACGCATTGCGCAATGCTTGAGGTATCCCTTAGGTTTGTAGGCGCCAATGCACGTTCCGTGCTGGCTGGCTGGCTGGCCGCGCCGCAGCGTGGCACGTGCCACGGCGCCTCACTTTTTCACAATGGAGGCGTTGCACAGTATTATACGAAATTGAAGGCACTCCCACATACCAACAATAAGAATGACAGGCATCCCTCAAGAGTATGGAACTTTCCTTGCAAAATAAGTCTAGATAAAAGAGATAAAGGAACATTCTTGAGTATGCCGTCAAGAAGATTTTATTTTGAATCAAGAATAAAATAGGTGAACAAAAGTGGGTCTCTGCTTGATATAAGTGACTTTCCTTCTTATAAAAGCATCTTTTCTTCTTTGAAAAAACATTATTTCCTTTATTAACTCATAAGGAAATCTTCTCCGCGGTAAATTTGAGGATATTTCTCTTTAGATTAGATCATTTGTTCCTCCAATGAAGTTAAAAATCATACTAAACGTTATTAAATGCAGATACTAGGACAGTAAGTTTTTCGACTACCGCTATCTTTTTGTTGTCGTCACTCGATTTAATTTGCGAGGGAACTTCGTGCTTTTGAAAGATGCCATCAATCATGATGCGTTGGGGTGCCTTCGATCTCATATGATACTGTGCAACACCTCCGGGGCGAAATAGTAGCTCGAAGCGCTGCGGCAAACCAGTGCCGAAGCGAAGTTATCATGCACAGGAAAAATATGAGATCCTTTAGCGAAGGCAAATCAAAAGGTTTTCCAGTTCAGGTATAAAAATATGGGATTTCTTGAAAGATAATTATTATAAAGAAATTTTCCCTATTTTGTTTTTGTCTCTGAATGTCCACAGAAGAGTTTTCAATGCGCTGATAACTGGTTTGAAATTTTTCCTGTCTTATTTTTGTCTTTGAATGTCCATAAAAGAGTTTTTGATGCGCTGATAGCTATGAATTATTACCGCGTCTTTGTAACTTTTTTTTTTTTTTTTTTTTTTTTTTTTTTTTTTTAAATAATACACGATATTAAGCCTCTGAAATTTTCAAATAAAACTTTACCTTGCATTTGCAAAAATTGCCTACATGCAAATTGCTTCGCTTCTGACATGGTTTTTAAAATGTTGACTGTAGAGCGCCTGAATGAAATCACCGCGTTTCCTGAGCTCAGAAAGCTTATTACCTCGTGAATTTTCGTAAAATGAAGCTAATGGATCAAGAGAGGATTAACTCGTCAAAGTTATCCGGGGGAGCTCTCCCTCGCTTTAAACTTTTAAACGGAATTTCAGGGTGAACTTTATTTATCTACATAGACAAGATTGTTAGCCGGAAAATCATCATTCAACACTGAAAAAAATGAGTTAGCGTCAGATGACTAAAAATGGTTTCTATACACTAACTCATATTGTGTGATTTGGACACACATGATTTTTGGTTTCTGTACACTAACCACTATTATATATCGAATTTATTGTCAAGAAAGAAATCAGTACAAAGAAAGAACATGACTTTTCAGAATACACTTAAGAATTATTACAACAACTACCTCTGTTTAAAANACCTAAGCAGATACCTCACGCATTGCGCAATGCTTGAGGTATCCCTTAGGTTTGTAGGCGCCAATGCACGTTCCGTGCTGGCTGGCTCGCTGGCCGCGCCGCAGCGTGGCACGTGCCACGGCGCCTC